TCAACCCTCCAAAATATACAAAGAACTCAAGAAGCTAGTCACCAAAATACCAACTAATCCAATTAAAAAGTAGGGTACAGAACTAAATATAGAACTCTCAATGGAGGAATCTAAAATGGCTGAAAGACACATAAGAAAGTGCTCAACATCCTTAGCCATCAGGGAAATGCAAATCAAAACAACTCTGAAATGTCACCTTACTCCTGTCAGAATGGCTAAAATCAAAAGTCCAATGATAGCTTATACTGGAGAGGATGTGGACAAAGGGGAACACTCTTTCACTGCTGGTGGGAGTGCCAGCTTATACAGCCACTTTGGAAATCAGTATGGTGGTTCCTCAGGAAAATGGGAATCAAGTCTACCACAAGATCCAGCAATTCTACTCTTAGGCATATACCCAAAAGATGCGCATTCATAAAAAGCACTTTTAAAAAGAGAGGCTTTCCAGTTCTTTTTATTTCATGTTTCTTTCTGAGATCATCCTTCCAGTTGGTACACATATGCCAGCCTTTTTTTTTTTTAAGTCTGGAAAAGTGAAATGGCTCAGTTGTAGGGCAGGACATGCACATCCCTTTATTACATAGTTCCAGAGATTTTGCTTAGGGACTCTAACAAATTAAGACTTTTGTGGGTGTGTTGGGGATCTGAGGTCCTCTGCTCTTACTGAGTTCTCTACCACTGAGCTACACCTCCAACCCAATTTTACATACCTGATAGCTTTGTGTCAGAATGTTGAGCTCTGTGTTGTTAGCATCTGTTTATGTGCCAGAAATTCATTTTTCTGCCTGTCTGGCTGGGTGTAAAGTGCTTACTTTGCTTCTGTTTTGTATTTCTTTGAAGCCCAATGAGCTTGGGTCTCTCCTGTTTACCAGAAGTTTCAGCTAACTTTGTGCATATGTGTGAAAGTATGTGTATATGTTCATGTGTGATGTGTGTGGTGATGATGTCCACATGTGTGTGCAAAGACCACAGGAGAATGTCAGGCATTCTGCTCTATCACTGTCCACCTTTTCCCGTTGAGATGGTGTCTCTTACTGAACCTGGAGCTCTGCAGGTGGCCAGCAAGCCCCAATGAACCTCCTGTCACCAAGTTCCCACAGCATATGGTGACTGGCATATGCCCAGTGCTTACACGGATGTTGGGATTAGAGCTCAGGTCCTTAAGTTTGTGAGGCGAGCTCTCTTACCCTCTGTGCTCTCTCTCCAGCCCCTGGCTTAACCTCTTTGGTTAGCTATCTGCTTAGCTATCTGCTAAGTCCCTTGTCCTTTTTTTCTGTTGAAAGTTACTGATGTTGCAGGTTTTCTCCACTCGTTGGCTTGTTCTTCCTCTTTGCCTAAAGTGTTTTCTGGTGAGATAAAGTTTTAAATTTTATAAACTTGCCCTTTGTGTTTTACAGTTGTTAAACAATTTCCACATGTATTAGTCAGTATTCTCCAAAGAGTGGGAGTGGGAAGGGATGAGGAGAAAGGGGCAGGGAGGAAGAGAAGGAGAGAGTGTGAAAGAGAGTGGATGAAGAGTGAGTGAGAAAGAGGGGTGTAGTCAGACTTTCTTTGGATCACCAGCTCTCAAATAATGACAAGGAGACTTCTTATTAAGTAGGAAAGCTTGGTCTTAGCTTAGGCTTGTTCCCAACTAGCTTTATAACTTAAACTAACCTGTTTATATATTAATCTACATTGTGCCATGTGGCTTGTTACCTCTCCTCAGTACCACATGTCTGACTTGCTCCTTGCCTCAGATTCCTCCCAGATTTCCTCTCTCTCCCTGGAAGTCAGAAGTCCTGCCTATCCGCTCCTGCCTAGCTATTGGCCACTCAGCTCTTTATTAAACCAATCAGAAGGTGCCTTAGCAGAGACACATCTTCACAGTGTACAAAATGATTGATTATCCCACAGCACTAGAGAAAATGGCCCATGCAATTAAGAAGCCTGTCAAGAGGCCAGTTCTGGTGAGGCTCAGAATCAGTGGTGCCCAGCTGTTGCTGGGAGGTGGAAGGCTTCTGAACCCAGGGCCCATCCAGCTGATTCTCAGCACTCACCGCCTCACCAGCCTTCTGCAGCTTAGCAGTTTTAATTCACCTGGAATTGTGTTTTGTGTTTTGTATGAGAGTCAGGACCAGATTTCATTGTTGTCTTACACCTCAACAGCTCACATGGCTAAGAAGTCATTTTCATGCTCCACCCTGTAGTACACACCAAGCTTGTATGTGTATTGGGTTATAGCTTTTACTCATGACTATTGAGTTGTATTGTTTTTTCCCCATGTATTCTTATAATCATGTTACATTCCCCCTCCATCTACTTGTTAATGAACTATATTAATTTCCTTCCAGATGTTAAATTAGTTTTTCATTCCTTGGATAAGCCCAATTTGGTTGTGATGTTTCACAGATTGAGTATTTTGCTGGATTTGATTTGCTAATAGTTTAGAATGGAAGTTATTAATGATATTCCTGCAGTATCTTTTTCGTTCACTAGAATGGTGGTGAATTCTGTTCATTGTCCTGTGTTTATATATTGGGCTGCTTTATTTTCTAATGTATAGCTATGTATATCTGGGGGGCAGTTATTCACAGGAGTGCAGTGTACTTATTGTTTATTCTGAGGCAGAGTCTTACCCTGTAGCTGAGTAAGGCTGGCATAGAACTTACAGTGTTTCCCAAGCTCCTCTGTCTCTGCACTGGGATTACAGGCATGAGCCACTGCACTTGCTCTCTTTCGATCTGGGTGTTGAAATATGGGTCTCCTCTTTTGTTCATTCATTCAGAGATGAAGCTTCTGGTCTACTTCTTTGTTGTGTTTTCTCTCTTACTCAGCTGTGCTCTTCTGAGTCCTCTTTCTTTTTTCCTCTCTGTTTTAGTACAACTTTTAAAGTTTTAAAGATGTGAACTCGACATTACTGATATAAGACATTTCTTCTATATAAGTAGAAGCAGTGCCCCAGTTTCAAAGGATTGCTCTGTATGCCTCTCGTGTAGTTCAGTGTGTCCTATTTTTTCTTTTCCAGACAGGGTTTCTCTATAGCTTTAGAGTCTGTCATGGAACTCACTCTGTAGACCAGGCTGGCCTCGAACTCACAGAGAACCACCTGTCTCTGCCTCATGAGTGCTGGGATTAAAGGTATGGGCCACCACTGCCTATTCTATGTTCTATTTTTATTAAATTGATTGCTTTCCCATTCTCTTGTGGTCTCTTCTTTGACCTGTAGTTTATTTAGAATTGTACCGTTTACTTTTGAAATATTTGGGCAGGGGAATCGCAGATGTCTATTTCCTGTGCCCGGAGATGTTTCAGTCATTTCAAACTCAGAGACTTGTCCTGTAGTCTGTAGTGTCTGTGAGCAGCTGGCTGTGGGTACTTTGGAAAGTGTGTCTGGTGGTGTTGAGTGGCAAAGTATTTTCAGTACTTTTCTCAGCTGTTTTGCTTCCCTAGACACTGATACTGCTCCTTCCTTTTTCTTTAGCATCATGTGTATCTGACATATATTTTTTCATATTGTAACTCCTCTGTGTTTCTTCTTTTACTGTGTGTTATACACTTTCCTTGATGTATTCTTTACTGTGTCAACCATAGTTATTTTAGAATCCTTGTCAAATAATTTCAGTACCTGGATCTGGGCATAGTAGCTGATGCCTGTAATGCCAGCATTTGGGAGGTAGACCAGGAGTTCAAGGTCGCAGCAAGCTCAGGGCCAGCCTGTACTACAAGAGAGCCTGTCTCAAACCGCAAATAATAGAGACCAATAACAATTATTACTTCAACACCCTATAGTTTTATTAAATGCTTGGCATTGAATATAAAAGACCACTGGGAACTGAGGTAAATACTACTTGTGCTTAAAAATGAGCAGCTCTTTGCTTGTTGTGTGAGGTTAGGACAGTCCTTGTACTGTGGTTCCTTCGGTATTCTTGATTCGCTTTTCTTCATCAGTGGGCTCCTGCTACCCTGTTCTTGGTGTGGCTGCGTGTGGATGGCGTGAAGTTCTTGCTTTTCCTTTGTGGCAGCATGCTGATCTTTCCCTCCTGCTGTTGCAGGCTAGAGTTCCCTTACCATACCTCATCTCCACAGTCCCTACACCTGGCCCTGAGAGGCGAGGCTGACTCACTGTTTTTCTCTCTCCTCCTCCTCTGTTGGCAATCAAACCTCCAGGCTGGTCTTAAGCGGAAGAGCTTCCAGCAGCTGCCAGCTGTTGCTCATTTCTTCCTCCTGTGGCAACAGTGCTCTGCCTGGGACCAGGCAAAGAGCCCTTCCTCCCCTTCACAGGTGGCCTGTCTTTATATGAGAGGATTGCTTAAGATGGTCCCCTGAGCTTGGCTATTTGTTCTCAGACCCTCCTTGTTCTGTCTCAGAAGCGCCTTTTGGACACTTTGGGAAGGTCACCAGCCAGCGAATATGGAGTCCCTGCTAATGACTGTGCTGGCCCACATGCGGGCTGTAAGATCTGGGAATTTGCATTTGCTTGCTTCTCATTTGCTCTTGTGGCTCTTGTCTCTCCCTCACTGACTTCAAGTGGACAGAGAATTCCAGTGTCCTTGTCACCTTGGAATTCATTCCTACCTCAGCATTAACTCTACTGCCTCTCAGTCACAGAGAAGCTGTTTGTAGGTTGAAAACGGGACTTTGCTGAGTAATTTTATTCAGCTCCTAATTCATTTTCTTTAATGTGCTGAGAAAGTATCACGCCTGTCAATTTGAATAAATCTAGCTTATTTTTCTCTCATTAAGGTGACAAACATGAATATCATGTTACCTAGTTTTGTGAAGTGATTGCAAGAATGATTTTTAAAAATTACCCATTCAAGTCTACTTTCACATCAGACAGCTAATCAGATTTGAAAATAATGAAGGTGTTTTTTTTTTATAATAATGATTTTTGGGTTATGTCTTTGAACATTTAAAGAAACCATCATTTCAGGAAAAGTTTGTCTCATTGACTGAAAATGTGATGGGAAGGGACTTGCTGTGGTGGGATTGATGACATTGTTTAAGTGAAAGGTAACCTGGTTGTTTTCCCAATGTCTCAGGTATCGGTGGCAATTTGGTGGCCATTCAGGCTAGCAGGATCTCTACCTACCTCCATTTGCATAGCATCCCTGGAGAACTGCCGGATGAACCCAAAGGTTGTTCCTACCCGTTTAGGACATTCTTTGGTTCAGGTAAGTGTGTGTGGGTTTTGCCAAGAACTGCTCTCTGCTGAGATCTGGGCAGACAAAATTTGTTGAATCAATATTTTGTGAATGTTGTGCTGAGCTAATCTCAGGGAACAAAGGCCTCTGTGTCCCTAAGTCTGTGTGTGTCCTTGTGGCATTTGCACTTTGTATTCGTGTCTCTGTTGGTTGTCAGTCTAGCCTTTAACAGCTAAGCTTTTTCTCCAGCACTTGGGAGGCAAAGACAGGCAGATCTCTGAGTTTGAGGCCAGGCTGGTCTGTGGAGCTAGTTCCAGGACAGCCAGGGCTACATAGAGAAACCCTGTCTCAAAAAACAAAAAAAGTGAAAAGAAAAGAAAGAGGAACCATAAAGCACCAGTGACTTAGGGACAGTGGACATTTCTTCCAGTACTACTGCTTTTTGACTCTTTAAAATGTGGATATTTGCTCTGAAACAGGACATTAGGAGACAACCCAGTGACGGAGAACAATATATAACTTAAATGAACGGATATGTGGCTACGAAAATCTGCAGTTATTATTATGTTATTTCATATGCATGGGTGTTGGCCTGTGTGTCTGTGCACCACTTGTATGCCCAGTGCTCTCGGAGGCTGCAGGAGGACATCAGGTCCCATGGAACTGGAGGTGTAGAAGGTTGTGAACCCTGGTCCTCTGGAAGAGCAATCAGTGCTCTTAACCACTGAGCATCTCAAGTCCCTCCTTGTAATATCAGTGATGGAACAATAAAAGAAGACTCAAATTTGACATTCCATTTCCTTCCTGTTTTTATGACACTAATGTTCTTCAAAACAAGGTTTGTTTTGTTTTGTTTCCCTGAGACAGGGTTTCTCTGTGTAGTCCTGGCTGTCCTGGAACTTACTCTGTAGACCAGGCTGGCCTTGAGCTCACAGATTTGCCTGCTTCTGCCTCCCAAGTGCTGGGAGTAAAGGTGAGTGCCACCCCTGCCCAGCTCAAGACAGTTTTTATACAGCCATTTTTTACTTGATTTTACAATTACACCTACTAGGGGAATTCCCAAGAATTAAGTGAATTGTAAATAACCGAACTTTATTCTTAGCAGTTAAGTAGATGAGACTCTGTGAGCTATAGTAATGAGAAAGTTACCTTCAATTTGCCATTTTATTTTTCTGAGATACAGTCTCATTGTCTGTCTGGGGGTGTTCGGGGGCTTGAACTCAAGGTGCTGCTACCTCAGCTTCCGCAGTGCTGGGGTTACAGACATCCAGGGTTGTTCTCTGACTCAGTGACATGGATTACCATGCCCACTTTATAGGTTCACTCTATTTTCCCACCAGTGCTGGGGGTTGAACCTTGTGAGTGCTAGACAAGCAACCTTCCCCAGAGCTGACCTTCTGCCGAGCCACATCCCCAGCTGTAACCTGCAAATGTGATTTTTAATGTCATTTGTGTTTCCTGCCACAGGAGTGAACAATAAGTCTGCCCAGGTTCTCTTGCTCCTAGTGGTTCCGGGCCACCTGATCTTCCTCTACACAATTCACCTGATGAAGAGCGGCCACACCTCTCTGACTGTTGTCTTCGTTGTTGTGTATCTGCTTGCTGCTGTGCTACAGGTGAGAGGGACAAACCTAAAATCTCTTCTGCGCAGAGTGCTGGACTTCTCCAGTACACAGCATAGTGACCACTTCAGAACTTCTCCAGTACACAGCATAGTCACCATTTCAGAAGTCAGCTGAGGCCTTTGCATTGACTTGATCTAAAACCAGTAAGCCCACTGGTACTACCAGTAAGTACCACTTATGGTACTAAGAACCTTTGGATTGCCTGGGTTTCCCAGCATTCTTTGTAGATTATCTTGCTCTCTTTGACACATCTTCCAATAGATTCTTGAAGTGGGGAAAGGAAGCACATTTCTGGGCTCTGCCTAGTGTCTTACCCTACCTTTTATATTAATAGAGACTGATACTTTTCTCTTGGAATTTTGAAGGTGTGCTTTACTGCCTTATAGCTGTTCATATTGCCAGTGAGAATAGGTACCATCGATTCCTGAATCTGTTGTGTGAACTTGTTTTTTATCTGTTTGCGTTCATACGTGTTTATGTGAATCAGTGCAGGTACATGTGTGTTACGAGTGTGTGTGGCAGTCCGAGAACAGCCATGGGTGTCGGTACTTGCCTTCTACCCTGTTTGAAAAAGCGTCTGTGTGCCACAGCGAACTGTCTGTGAGCTTCTAGAGGCTCCCCAGTCTGTGCCTCCTGTCTGCTGTGGGGGTGCTGGGTTCCAGATGTGCATGTCTGCAGCTGGCTTTATGTGGGTTCTGCAGGTGCAAACCCAGGTCTTCACACTTGCGGGCAAGCGCTTCACCCCCTGAGCTATCTTTCCCTCACGATGTGACTCTTGCTGTATGAGCTGATTTTTACTTACTGTCCTTTCTCTTGTTGCATGCTGGTAGCAGCAGGGTATATATGTGCCGATATACCCTGCTGTCTCTTCTATTTGACTCCATCAGTTCAAAAGTTCATATTCTTCAATTCTGGGAGAAACTTCTTTAAATGTTATTTTGTAATGAATTTTCTTTTTTCCTTTGATATGTAATCCAGACTGGCCTCAAATAGTGATCCGATGGTCTTTGCCCGTGAGTACTAGGCTACAGTAGTGATCTCCATGTTTAGCACTTCATGGAATCTTTATGGTTACTAAACTTGCATCAAACTTTTTTTTTTTTAAAGTTCTGTTTTGTCATCTGTTTCCTTTTTAGATTTCAACTCCTCATTCTGTGTTGTCTAGAAGGCTTTTTATTTTAAAATTTTAGAATTTTTTTGGGGGGCTGGGCTGGGTGGTGGTGGTATATGCCTTTGATTCCAGCACTTGGAAGGCAGAAGCAGGCAGATCTTTGTGAGTTTGAGGCCAGCCTGGTCTACAAAGCTCCACAGAGAAACCTCATCTCAAAACAAACAAAAACAACAACAAAAAGAAATTTTCTTTTATATGAACAAACCCTTTCCTGTGCTCTTGTAAACAATTCTAATGAAACTCACTAGTTCTCACAGCTACACCAACACACATAAACACACACACACACATTTGCACTCACATACACTCTCATGTATACACACACACACACACACACACACACACACACACACACAGGCAAGATGAAAGCAGAAGTGGTCCTGGCTGGGGAAAGGAAGGAGAAGTAGAGCAGGGCAAGAGAGAGGGTAATGGATGGGATGTCTGTGTAAGAAAATACCATAATGTAACTCATTATTATGTTTAATTAATATATGCCAATGAAAACATTTAAAGGTATGCCACTATAATAAATGTATACATTTTAAAAATTAAGTAGTACTAAAATATTTTACTTTCCTGGATCTGTCAGAGACCATCACTTTGAAATATTTTAGCTTTTTTTTCTCATTATTTGTAAGTTTTAAAGTAACATGAAAAAAAGAAAAAAGTGAGGGCTTTGGAGCCATTATAATGTTTCATATTTCCCATATAACTTATACCACAACTTTTAAAATATGAATTATCAGTGTACAACTAAGCCTATTTGAATGTTTTTTTTTTTTGATGCAAACAGCAAGAGGCTTTATTGAAGTTGTTTAACGAGCTAACTCCATGTTAGCTTGGGCCTTTCATCCATCCACCATGACAGATGACTGACTAGGAAAGACTATTTGAATGTTTTTATTGTAAGGCAGATGGTTTGCTCTGGCTGTATTTCTTGGTGTATTATTTTGCTTGGCATTAATAATTCTTTCTTTTTTGACTTGGGCATCTCTCCATAGACCCAGTCTTGGTGTTTCTAGCTGTCCCACCTTCTCACCTCTGGCTTCTGGTTTTAACCATAGCCTTGGTGCCTCCTCCAGCAGGGATCCATAGACTCCAGAAGCAGATGAAAATAAAGCCTAGGGTGGAGTTTGAATTTGGCCTTCGGGGGACTTGACTTGGAGGACTGAGGCTAGGGAAGGTGGATAGAGAGCGTTCCAGGCAGAGGAAGCAGATGGAGTGTCTGCTGTGTGCTGAGCACTATACTGCTTTCACACGCCACGCCCTGAAGTCTCAGTGTTATGGGAGATTGGTTCTTTGCTATGAAGCAGTAATTTTCAAAGTGCCGGACAATCCAGTGTGTATAGAACTAAAAATTGAAACTTATGTCTTTGATAACTGGGATACCAGCATGGGACTGATCCAGAACCCAGAAACGTGGGTTTCAGTGAGAAGACCTCAGAAATCTATAGGATCTCCTGTAGTAGTTCAGTACTTATCCCTATCATAGGTGTGGACTTTGGGAGCCCAATCCACATACAGGGACACCTCTGAACCAAGACACACAGGGGTGGGCATAGGCCCTATCCCAAAGGATATGATAGACTCTGGTGACCCTCTATGGACGCCCTCACCCTCCCTGGGGAGCAGAAAGGATATGTGATAGGTAGGGTTTTAGTTGGTGGGTGGGTGGTAAGGGAGGAGGGGAGGGAGTAGGAACTGGGATTGACATGTAAAACAATCTTGTTTCTAATTAAAAAAAATAAAGTAGGGGAAAAAACTTATGTCTTCTGGGTGCGCTTAAAGTGTATCTTATTATCTTCACTATTGCTCAATAATAAACATATTAGTGCCCTATTTAATAAGTATGCTCAGATACTTTCTTTGAGAGAGCTGCATTATGTAGGATTCTAGATTGTTGAATTAATAGAGTGAGAAAGGACAGAACTGTGCCAGAAAAGGAAAGTGGAATACAGACTCCGAGGTGGAGGGGTGAAGTGAGGTCTTAGGGTAGAGTAAGCCTGGGTGGAAAGGCACTAAACACCCACTAGGGAGCCTGGGATAGGTTCTCAAACAGCCAGATCCTTACAGAAGTCTCTGTCTGTAATGCTCTAGTCTTCCAATTTTATTAAGCCACTGTTACTTTTTATTTTTTTATTCCTTCACTAAATCTTCATTTGATTTGATGACAGGCTGGCTCTTAAGCCCCTAGAACAGTGAATCCAAGCATCAGACTTGTGGTCTGATGCTCCAGGCACTGTCATGTTTGCCGCTGTCCTCAGTCATGGGGAAGTGCATAGATCTGGTCTGACCAGCCCTTTCTAGAGTAGGCGCCTGTGCATGGCTCTCTTCTGGGCTCAAGGATGCGTCTATTGTGTCCACCACTGTTCACTATGGAGCCCTGCATCCTTCTCTGTAAGCTGAAGAAAATAGAAGTAATTTTTTTGTATGTATGTGGTATTGGGTGTGTATATGTGGTGTGGGTGTATGTGTGGTGTGTGTGAGTGTGTGTGGTGTGTGTATGTGATGTGTGTATGATGTGTGTATATGTGGTATATGTGTGTGGTGTGTCTGTGTCTGACTTTCATTCTTAGAAAATACTTGGATGTTGTTTAAAGAAATGTTGTAGCTGGTAAGAAATGAGTTATTATCAGCAAATATAATATTTGTCTTAGCAACATGTATATGCTTCCCATTAACAAAATTTAAAAGACAAATTGCTTTGAATTTTGTTATTACTACATCCTAGATTTGGATTTTATAGTTACACACAAATTATGCTATCTTTTATTTCCCAACAGATTCATATTCTAAATAAAAATATTATTCTCTACAAATCCTGTACCTACCTTACACGACCAGATGAATCCCTTTCATAATAGGACTTAATATCAGGATGTTGGCTAATTACTTGATTTTTTTATAAGCAATAAAAGTTTGTGATTGCTGAAATGTATGATTTAATGTGAGCATGCCCACAACACTAGTGGGTCAGAGTAAGAGCTGTGGTGAGGTGTGGTAACATGGACAGTGGCCTCCTCACACTTCTTAGGAACAGTGGCAGTATCTTAGTTCTCAGGTCTCCTTTATTTCACCATCGGAAGCTACAGAGTATTGGAGTGACAAGTCACATTGAGTAGCAGTAGAGGTCAGGGCCCCTGGGACTAGCACCAAGTCCCTCACACCATTCTGCAACTCCACTGCATGCGTGGAGTGACTCCTCTAAATCGTGGAGCATGAAGCCATGTGGTGACGGCACCACCACTCTAGAACCTCGAGGCAGCCACCCACAAAGCGAGGTAATTAGCTTAGTCTCTGGAAGTTGTTAATTCTGGGGAGTCTTGCCGTCTTAATGCACAAAATGTGCATACTTCATCCTTCTTGCTTGGTAACTGTAATAGTTGGGCCTCTAATTAAATAATGGGGCCATAGCTTGTACTCTAGCTGGCACTTAAAGGAAAGAGCCAAGCAGCTAGGGGGTTGTGTCAGTCCACTCGGTTTTACTCTCCCCCACATTCACCATAGCTGCTTGTTCCTTGGGATTGAAATCTGTCAGATTTCATTTGAAGAGAATCTCTTTGGTGTTTTTTTGTTTTTTGTTTTTTTGAGATAGAGTCTTACGTAGACCAGGCTCTCCTTGAGCTTGGTTTGTAGCTGAGGTTGGTCTTGAACTCCTGACCCTCTTGCTCTTGCCTGCACCTGCTGGCTCTGGTGTGACAGGTGTGTGGCTGTTCTCCTCTGTCTCTTGGTTGGCTTCTGTCAATCAAGACAGCTCGGATTGAAAGGTCATGTGAAGAAAAAGAGAATGTCGTGACAGTAGGGACCTGTAGTCCTAACT